CTTGATGAGATATCCTTGGGAAAGAGTGTAAGCGAGGCTATTTGATAACGGGGACAGGCGAACTGTTTTTCCCGGAGTTTCTTTTAAAATGACAAGGTGTTTTTGTGAAAACTGTGTCGAGCCGAAAATAAACGACGAATCGTCGCAAGAGGATGCCTAGGCGACGAGATAAGATGATGCCTAGGCGACGAGGCAAGATGACGCCTAGCCGACGAGCCGAGATGATGGCTAGGCGACAATGCAAGAGGATGTCTAGCTGCCGAGCCGAGTTAACGGCTAGGCGACAAGGCAAGAGGATGCCTAGCTGCCGAGCCGAGTTAACGGCTAGGCGACAAGGCAAGAGGATGCCTAGGCGACGAGATAAGATGATGCCTAGGCAACAAACCAAGATGACGCCTAGCCGATGAGCCGAGATGATGCATGGACGACGAGGCGTCTTCGTTTAGATGACGCCTAGCCGTGTTTAGCGATAACGACGAGGCGATTTTCATTGGCAATGCCGAGCCGTGTTTAATGATAACGGCGAGGTGATTTTCATTGGTAATGCCGAGCCGTGTTTAATGATAACGGCGAGGCGTTTTCATTAGATGATGCCGAGCCGTGTATAACGACAAGGCGTTTTCATTATATGATGCCGAACCGTGTATAACGACGAGGCGTTTTCATTATATGATGCCGAACCGTGTATAACGACGAGGTGTTTTGTTTTTTATTAACCAAAGATGATTTCGGGCCATTCATTGAGATTTATCCATTCTATCACTGAGAGAGGTCCTCATTGAGGTGAGCTGTTTTAGATTGTTTTGAGAAAGAATCTTCGACTAACGCCGAAGTATTTTTCAAGTAAGTTATGTGTTTAATAGGCCTTGTACTCTTTGAGAGACTGATCATTTGTGAGGAAGAGTCGGGCGTTGCAGCCAAAGTGTTTAGCTTGAGCCTGTTTTTTCTTGCCGAGGCGTTAGCCCAGGGTTTCTCATTGACGAGGCAAAAGTTCAAGAGGATATAGTGTTCTCTTTGGAATATGACTATAGACCGGCGTTTCCGAGAGGGTGAGTGTGTTTTGCCGGGTTTTAAGAGTTCACTTCGGTTTTAGAGAAAGCGATGTAGTCTCGACTTATAATCTCGTGTGCGATAGTGAACTGAGGTGGTTTATCTACTTGGGGTGAAAACCGACCCCAACACTTCGCATGATGCTAGTCTGCCTGTGGATACCTCACAGCCTCTGGGTTCTTCGGTATTGCTCTGTTCACGTCGCAATTTTGAGAAAGAATTTTGAAGTAACGGTTGTGTTTGGGCCTTAGTAGCTGCTGACTCTCAGGTTACCGACACCCGTCCATTGTCTTCTCCTTTTTCTGCGTTACTTCACGAATTTGCGGATGTGTTTCCAGCAGAATTACCGAAGGAGTTGCCTCCTCTACGTGATATTCAACATCAAATCGATTTGGTTCCTGGTGCAGCCCTTCCTAATAGACTTCATTATCGTATGAGTCCACAGGAGCATGAGGAACTTCGTCGTCAGGTTGAAGAATTATTAGCGCGTGGTCATATCCGCGAGAGCTTAAGTCCTTGCGCTGTCCCGGCTCTCCTCATTCCTAAGAAAGATCGTGGCGTGTGTGTGTTGATAGCAGAGCTATTAATAAGATTACAGTGCGCTATAGATTCCCAATTCCCCGACTTGATGACCTGTTGGATCAGATCGGCACAGCAACAATGTTCTCTAAATTAGACTTGAAGAGTGGCTACCATCAGATTCGGATTAAGCCTGGTGATGAGTGGAAAACTGCCTTCAAGACGCGAGAAGGGCTGTTTGAATGGCTTGTTATGCCTTTTGGCTTGTCTAATGCCCCTAGTACGTTCATGCGAGTCATAAATCAAGCATTACGACCTTTCATTGGGCGCTTTCTTGTTGTCTATTTTGATGACATTCTCATCTTTAGCTCTTCTTTGGAGGATCATCTTGATCATTTACGACAAGTTCTTACCGTCTTGCGCAAGGAGGCGTTGTTTGTTGCGCAACAGAAATGTGAGTTTGGCGTTGATCAGGTGCTGTTTTTGGGTTATATTGTATCCAACAAGGGTTTATCGATGGATGCCAGAAAGGTAGAAGCCATCCGTTCGTGGCCAGTACCCCGAACGATTTCTGAGATACGCAGTTTTCACGGTTTGGCGTCCTTTATCGCCGTTTTGTGCCCCATTTCAGCTCCATCATGGCTCCTATAACCGACTGTATGAAGGAAGGAAAGTTCGTCTGGTCCTCTGATGCAGCTGCCGCGTTTGACCTTGTTAAAACTAAGCTCACTACTGCGCCGATTCTCGTGCTACCAGAATTTTCTCTTCCTTTTGAATTGCATTGTGACACATCGAAGTTAGGTGTTGGAGCAGTTCTCAGCCAACAGTCACGCCCAGTAGCCTTTTATAGTGAAATCGCTGGAGCAAGAGGTCGCTATAGTACTTATGACGTTGAGTTTTATGCGATAATACAGGCAATTAAACACTAGCGTCATTATCTATTCCACCGCGAGTTTGTCCTCTTCACTGATCACGATGCACTTAAACATCTGGACAGCCAAGCCAAGATTTCTTCCCGTCATGCGAATTGGATTGCATTTTTGCAGCAATTTACGTTCACCATTCGTCATCAGTCAGGCAAGTTGAATAAAGTCGCAGATGCGTTAAGTCGACGTCATTGTCTTATCACGAGCATGCATACGACTGTGCCAGGTTTTGCAACGTTTGCAGAGCTTTATGTCTCGGATCCTTATTTTGGTGCTATTCTCCGTGACATACAGCAAGGACTGCGTTCTGACTTTTTGCTCCAAGACGATTTCCTCTTCTACAAAAATCGCCTTTGCGTGCCAGATTGTAGCCTCAGGTTGCGTTTCATTACCGAATTGCATTCAGAAGGTCATGTAGGTCGTGACAAAACTTTACAGCTTGTTTCGACCTCCTACTTTTGGCCATCACTGCGTCGCGACGTGGAGCGATTTGTTGAGTGTTGCCGTGCTTGCCAACTCGCTAACGGTCAAGCTTTGAATGCAGGACTGTACTTGCCATTGCCAATTCCTACTCAGCCATGGACTGATGTTAGTATGGACTTTGTTTTGGGGTTACCTCGTACACAGCGCGGTAGTGACTCGATTTTTGTTGTTGTCGACCGTTTCTCCAAGATGGCACACTTCATTCCCTGTAAGCGTACCACTGATGCTGTTAAAGTTGCTGAATTGTTTTTCTGCGAGGTGTATCGTCTTCATGGGTTGCCGACTTGTATTGTTTCTGATCGCGACACAAGATTTTTGAGCCATTTTTGGCGTTCGGTATGGAAAATGTTGGGTACTAGTCTTGACATGAGCACAGCTTATCATCCGCAAACGGATGGTCAGACTGAGGTAACAAATCGATCTCTTGGCAATATGTTGCGCAGTTTGGTCGGAGATAATTTGCGTTCTTGGGAAACTCGTCTACCGCAAGTCGAATTCGCCTACAATCATTCAATGAATCGTAGCATGGGTTTCTCACCGTTTCATGTGGTTTATGGTATTGTCCCGCGGGGTCCTTTGGACTTAACTTCTCTTCCCGATCGGATTCGTCCGCATGGTGGCGCAGGTTCTTTTGTGGACACTTTGCGTGTGGTCAAGCTCGTCTACATTTGGAAGCTGCTGCTGCGAAATATAAAGTTTCTGCGGATAAACATCGTCGTGAACTTCTATTCGAACCAGGTGACTTTCTTTGGGTATACCTCACTAAAGATCGCCTCCCTTCTCATGAGTATAATAAGCTTCGTTCGCGCAAGATCGGACCAGTGAAAGTTGTGGAACGCATCAACGCCAATGCTTATCGCTTGGAGCTGCTACCACATCTCAAAACTGCAAATGTCTTCAATCTCAAGTATCTTACTCCGTATGTTGGCGAAACTGACCTTCAAGATTCAGAGGCGAATCTTTTCTTACCCCCGGGGACCTGATGCAGCGCATCTTCACTTAGGATTTTCCTTATTCCTTTTTGCTTAAGTTATTTGGTTAAGTTAAGATACTTATTACGGTTTGAACATATTTTCTTTCTTCTAATTGCTTTAGGAATTGCTTTAGGTTTTTATTTTCGTTGTTATTTAAACGAGCCTAAGTTGTAAAGGTTCGTCAGACTTAGAGAATTAATAAACAGAGCTTTTCAGAGCCTTATTAGTTCTTCCAAGTCGATTGCTCAATTGCGTTCTTCTACTTTTCGGAGTTAACCGAAACTTACATTGATCAACTCTTCTCTTGTGAACCTTTCGCTACGCCATGATGTCTGTGTGACCATACAGCAGCCATCGCTGGCAGTGGATAGAGCGATCCACCAAGTGTTTAAATAGCGTGTTTGGGCTGATCGCTGGTATAACCGCTAGTACAGCCTATTACTCACCCCTCTTCTTCTCTTGTTTTCTCCAGGATTAGGTGGACCAGCTAAGTCTATTGTTGTTGACTGTTATCTGGGCGTTTTCAATCCTGGCAGACCTGAGGTTTATCAAGGACCAAGCCTGGTGTTTTACCGAATGAAGTTTGACTACCAATCTAACATGTCCAATTTTCTCGCCTCTTTAGAGAATCCAGAATAAGGATGTTACATTTATTTATATATATATATATATATTTCCATATATTCTTACTAGAAGAAATATATATATATATATATTTATATAACCGATTAAGTTTATCTTCTAAAGGATTCAATAGGAGACGATGTAACTAGAATATGTAGAGTATCTTGTTGGTGATGTGTCTATGGATTATAGAATTGTATGGAATCTCAAACTGAATTATTCAGATGATAAACAATAAAAACAGAAACTCATATCACATCCTTTGGCATGTTTTGGGGGCCATCATCTCAGCTGGACGGAGACAACACGGACACTTGTGCCAGAGAGGGAACACAATCTTCCCAAGTCTTCAAAGGGTAATCTCAGACCAAACCGTTGACTTTGTCCCTATTAATTGTTTATGCTAACCCCAAGATATTTTGATACAATAAATCACTATATAAACACATAAATGTGCACCCCACCTTTCTTATCAAACATAAAAGTCAGCAAAACAAAGGCATATTCCTCTTCTCCTCATAAGCCTTAATTTCCAAATATTCAGATTCAAGGATCTCCATGGCGATCCACAAGATCCTCTTCGCTTCACTTTTCATTTGCTCACTGATCCAATCGAGTCATGGGGCTACCAAAGAAAGGCTATTTTCCGACCTGGAGAAAGGTGCTTTTGAGGTCACCACTAAACCCAGCCGAGAAGGAGAAGGTGTCGGTATGTATATAATTTCTTCTAAAAATATCAATCATTTGGTCCTTCATTTGAACATACCTTTAGGTGTTTAAATTTGCGCTGTTAGACTAGAAAGCGTCTATGCTCTTGGGAGATTAGTTTAGGTTTCGGCCCGCGATCCCGTTTAAAAAAAAAAAGGAAAACATTTAATACCTACTTAAACATAAAAGACACGAAATATAATCAAGCATCAGTTAGATTTATTTAAGGAATTACTAATATCAAGGCTGATCAATATTGGTTGTATGGTTTCTAGTTCTGGATGCCGGAATTGACAAATTGAGCATCACATGGAAGCTAAACTCGACGGCAAAGGAGGCTGAATTCAAGACTATTAAAGTAAAGCTATGCTACGCCCCGATCAGCCAAGTTGACCGACCATGGCGCAAGACGGAGAATGAGCTCTTCAAGGACAAGAGCTGCCCGCACAAGATCGTGGCAAGGCCCTATGACAGCAGCGTTAAAACCGCTCAAACAATCGATTACACCCTTGAGCGCGACATTCCCACCGGGACTTACTTTGTTCGTGCCTACGCTGTTGATGCACACGACCATGAAGTTGCCTTTGGACAGAGCACGGACGAGGATAAGAAAACCAATCTCTTCAGCGTTCAGGCTATCAGTGGCCGCCACAAGTCCCTAGATATTGCCTCCATCTGCTTCAGCGTCTTCTCTGTCTTGGCTCTGCTCGTTTTCTTTGTCAACGAGAAGAGGAAGGCCAAGATAGAGCAAAGCAAATGAGTCATTTACTTTGCTTGTTTGCGACGTTAAACAGAAAGTCGTTGACTTTGAACTTTCTTTTGTATCAATTGCTTTTGTTTTGTTGCTTACCTCTTCTTTCTTCTGTACTTTTTACTTACGTGTTTGTATCGTTATAAGCCATTCATATGGAGTCAAGAAACTAATCCTACGGTGGTGATGCGTTGGGTGCTTTATATATTTGTTTACACTTTTTGATATATTTCCTATACATTCTATTTGAATGTTTTATACTTTTATGGTAGTAATAATATTCAAAATACCATATTCATTTCCAGCTCTCAGATAAAAATCGTAGATACAGTTATATTTCATATAGAAAAGTCAAAATATCAAATATTAAACAACAAGTAACCCCTTCAGCAAATAAAAAATCGTTGAATAAAAAAAAAATTAAGTAAAGCCAACGAATGAATGGAGTGCAATAAAGTAAGATTTATGAAAAGGATTTTGGTAAATCTACTTTAGTTTGTATTTGCAAAGTTAGAAGAAGATGAAATAATAAATGATTGTCGTGTGAACCTGAAAATTAGATATTTATTATATTAAAACAGAAACATTTTTTAGTGCTTGCTTCCAAACACTCCCAAAGTTTATTAAAAATTATTTTATTTTATATTTATATTTAATTACGAAAATTAGGTATTAATTTAGATATTTTTATATTCTCCTTAAATATAGATGATAATTAATTTAAAACATTTATTTTATATTGATATTTAATTTCGAAAATTAGTTATTAATTTAGATATTTTTAAATTTCTTTAAATACATGTAAGATATTAAAAAATGATTTAAAGCAATTAAACGGGTAGATTAGCCAATTCATAGATATATAAATTATTTATATGTAAATTTACATAATTAAAATCACATAATCAAATTTACATAATTAAACTCACATAATAACCAAGTTTATAATTAATATTAGATCGAAATATATTTAATTAACTCATATTCTTATTCTACTAATATACAAATCTACACTATTTAAAGTTAAAACATGATAACAAAATATCTTCCAAAAAAAATAGCTCGACACCAGGATGATGAAAGCTTAACACATCTTTTTTTTTTTTTTTTTTTTGTCAACAGCCTCTTCTCCTAAACCGAAGGTGTTAATCAAACCGGTGGAGATGAGTTCACATAAATCATATTTCGTGGATAGACTCTAGCGCTGTGAGCTAATGCGTCCGCCTTGGTGTTCTTCGCTCATGGTATGTGGATCAGTTTGAAAAAAAGGAACTTCTCTCTGGATTTCTGGATTTCCCCCAATTGTAGTGCAAATGCTGGCCATTCCGTTGGTGCCGACACCATCTTCACCACATCAGAACAGTCTGTTGCAAAAACTACTTCTCTTCGCTGATTTTCAATCATGCACAACATTGCCCATAATAGTGCCTCTACTTCTGCATGTAAAGGAGATAAGCTGCGTCGTAAATTTTGTGCCCCCATTATGGTCTCGTAGGATTCCTCGCTCCTATAATACCATCCTATACCTGATTTTTTATCTGTCTCCTTCCAAGAACCATCCACCGAACACCATCCCTTATTAAAGGAGGTCGGGTGTGATGGCAATTGAGGATGGTGTATTTCCGTTTCAGTTACCGATTTTTGTGTCTCAATCCATAAAAGGCTTTCCGTTTCTGCTAATTTAAGCGTTAATCGTGGATCCCTGTCTATGTTTGGGAATATTTTGTCATTTCTTGCTTTCCATATGTACCATACTATCCATGGGTATGATTCATTAAAAATTCCTGGTGGTGTACGCCAAAACAAATAATCCAAATTTCCATAAATAGAACTTCCTGGGAAAACTCCCGTAGGTGTTGGGAACGGTGACAAAGCCCACGTCTGCATTTCGGGTGGACATTCAAATAAAACATGATTGATCATTTCCTCCTCTGCCCCACATCGATTGCATTGTGCATCACATTTGATTCCTCTGTTGTTCAGATTTTTGGCAACAGCCAGACAACCGGACAGTACTTGCCATAGAAATGGCGTAATTTAGGGGGACACCTCAGTTTCCATAGTTTTACTAATAAGGGCTCGAAAGTAGGTCCATATAGGTTTTGTGTTTTTGTTTCCGAGTTTTGGTGTTCAATTTGGTATCCAGATTTGACCGTATATTTGCCTGATTTTGTGAAGTGCCAACCCAATACATCCGGCCGAAATGAGGCGCTGATTGGCATCCCTTGTATTATTTCCACATCTTTTGGATCTATGATAGCATTGAGGAGCCCCATATTCCAAGTACTAGTCTGTGGATCAATGAGATGATTAACCATGAGATTTGGGTAATAATTATAACCCTTACATATTGCTGATCTCGGGCGAGAAGATGGTATCCAGGGATCTTTCCAAACCGAAGTGGAACATCCAGAACCAACTCTTTTGATTAGCCCTTTGTTAACCAGAGATCGAGCTGAAATAATACTTCGCCATCCGTAAGATGGGGAATATGACTTTATGTTGTCCATTGGACCTGCATTCCGATAATATCGTCCTTTGAGTACTCTCGCAAACAGCGAATCTGGCTTATCTATTAATCGCCATAACTGTTTTGCCAACAGTGCCGTATTAAAATTCTCTAGCGACCTGAAGCCCATGCCCCCCACCGATTTGTGACGGCACATCTTTGGCCATGCAAGCCAGTGCATTCCTTTGCCTTGACCTTTCGTGTTCCACCAAAATCTTTCCGTGATGCTCGTTAACTTTGTGGTGATTGATTTTGGTAAGCGAAAACATGACATGACAAAAGTTGGCATAGCGGAAGCCACCGATTTTATTAGTACTTCCTTTCCCCCTTTTGATAAAAAGTTGGATGTCCATCCGTTTACGCGATCCTGTTGTCTGTCAGCTAAAAACTGGAAGATCCTGGTCTTTGTTCCCCCAAGGTTTTCCGGTAATCCTAAATATGAGCCCATTCCCCCCATGTTGTGAATTCCTAAAATTTGTTTCATCTCATTTTTCACTATGTCTGAGACCTTATGCCCGAATTGTATTGACGACTTGTCAAAATTTATTTGTTGACCCGAAACGTTCTCATATTGGCGGAGCACCTGCAATATCTGCTGACATTCCTCCTTGTTTGCTTTACAAAAGAAAAGGCTGTCATCCGCAAATAACAAGTGTGAGATCGAAGGGCTTGACCGGGCTACTTTCAATCCGGTCAACTTTCTGTCTTGTTCTGCCTTCTTTATATTAGATATCAGGACTTCCGTACACAAAATGAATAAATATGGGGACAATGGATCCCCTTGTCGGAGTCCCCGATGTGGAGTTATTCTTCCTTTAGGTTGCCCATTCAAAAGAACTTTATATTGTACTGACTTTATACACCACATCATCCAGGTAATCCATCTTTCCTCAAATCCCATTTTTCTCAAGAGATGTTCTATGAGATCCCATTCAATCCTGTCATAGGCTTTGCTCATGTCCGTTTTAATTGCCATGAATTTATCTTGGCAGGACTTATTTGTGCGGAGCCCATGGAACATTTCCTGTGCAATCAGAATGTTATCCGAGATCAAGCGTCCCGCGACAAAAGCCGATTGTGTTTCTGAAATAATATCGGGTAATAGTTTCTTTAACCGTTGACACAAAACTTTAGAAATTATTTTGTACCCAACATTGCATAGACTTATTGGTCGCAGTTCCGTCATTCGAGTTGGTCTGTCCTTTTTTGGAATTAAACATATGTTAGTCATATTTAATCGTTGATCGAAGATCCCTGTTTCCAAGAAGCCATTTACTAACCCAAGTAAATCCGTTTTAATTATCTTCCATGATTTTTGAAAAAATAAGGCTGTCATTCCGTCAGGCCCTGGGGCCTTTTCCGGGTTCATCATAAACAAAGCTTTGTACACCTCATCTTCTGTTGCCTCCGCCACTAACATGGCATTATCCTCCTCTGTGACTCGATTTTGAATTTCTCCAAGTGCGGATTCAAATTGTAATGGGGAGGTTGTAGTGAACAAGTCCTCAAAATATCCCACTGCAACTTGTTCGACCTCTTTTTCGGAGGTCACCCATGAACCTGCTGCATTATACAAGCCGACAATTCGATTCCTTGCTCGTCTTTGTTTTACATGCGCATGATAGAATTTTGTATTTTTATCACCCCCAATAGCCCACTCGTTCCGGCTTTTCTGTTGCCAAAACAGCTCCTCGTCTCTATAAGCTATTTTTAATTTCCTTGTAACCTCTATTAATTCCTCCTCCGATTTTGTATCATCATTTTGAACGTCCTCAAGCTCCTTTTGCAACTCAATAATCCTCTCTTTCCCGTAAGGTAGATTGTTTTTCCTCCATCTAGATATTTTGCGACGGCAATTAGAGATTTTTTCCATGAACGTCCCCTCACGTCGCCCAAAATTTGAAGTCCATCCTGTAGAGATAGCATCCATTAAACCCTCTTGGCCAATCCATCGTTTGTCAAATCGGAATTGGGTTCTCTTCCGGGGGATTTTATCCTCAATTGTTGTTACTATCGGTCTATGATCCGATCCAATCATTGCCAGATACTCCACAAACGAATGACAGAACATCTCATGCCAGTGTTCGTTTGCTAGAGCTCGATCCAATCGACATCTTACTATTTTGGAGTTTCTACGTCCCCTCCAGGACATGGTATTTCCTAAACACGGAAAGTCTAGAAAACCGCAAATACTAATCATGAGATTAAAGGATGTAAAGGTCGATGCATGTCGCAAGGCTCCACCTTGCTTTTCATGGTTACCAGTAATTTCGTTTAGGTCTCCAATGATAAACCAGGGTTCTTTTCGAGAAAGGCTGATTCTCGTCAATCGTTCCCATACTTGATCCCGTTGTTTGGGCACCGGATCTCCATAAATAAAAGACAGATAAACAGTTTTTCCTTGAATAACCGCTTCGATATCGATTATTCTTGCACTTGAATATATTACCTTAATGTTAAAAAGATCATTATAAAAAAGTGCAAGTCCTCCACTTGTTCCGCAAGGTTCAACCGTAAATAATTTATTATAACCAAAATGAAATTGAAATTGTTGCACAAAAGAAAAACATTGTTTAGTCTCAGAAAGAAATAAAAATTCGGGCCTATGTCTTTTCCAAATCTCTCGCAGGTAGCTTATTGTCCATTTGCTTCCAAGACCCTGACAATTCCAGCTAAGTACTCTCATTAATCGCTTTGTTTGTTGCTTTCTGCCCCTGTTTTGGGTTTAAGGTCCCCTTCGGAGCAACATTCTGGCCTTTGTCACCGATGTGGTTCCCATTTTTGACCCCTTGTTTTTTCCGAGGAGATGTAAATTTTTGAACCAATCTCTTCTTTGTACTGCCTCCTAGAAAGAGCGGGTTGCTCTTGACGGTTTTCTTTTTTACTTCGTTTTTGTCTCCGTCCTTCGCCACCTCATCGAGTCCCCCTCCCTCTATATCCGATGACTTTGCAGGACCTGTCTCACCCAGTAAATCTGCAACTGTGACCTCAAGACCTGCAGAGTCCCACAATTCCTCAACCTCTGTAATAGACTGGAAAAATTCCCCGTCTTCAAAGTCATCCTCACCCCTTTCCTTTTCCACATTTCCTTCGCAAGTGAACATGTCCGGATTAGCTTCCATGTCTTGCCCAAGAGTCACCGTGATTTCATTACCGGATGAGCTTGGCTTAATATGGTCCTGCATTTCCGAGCACAGGTTTAGCTCCTCCTCTTTTGCAGCTTCCAAACTGTGTTCCATCATGTATCCTGAGATGTCGTTAGCTGATAAGGTCAGCCCCTGGTCCTGCATATCCTCGTCACCTGCCATTCCATCATCATTAGTCTGTTCTGTCACCGTATTAATCACCTCCAACTCCCTGTTTCTGTTAACACTTGAGATAGCAGATAGAAACCAGAGTGTGGCTTCGTACAAGACGGTCACAAAATATGGAGGGGGTGGAGGAAGAGACTCGGTGAAAAATGAGAGTGTGAATGCAGGTTTTAAAGGGAAGGGCAAAGCTCATAGAGAAGAAGCTGATCACAAGCTGAAAGGCAGATCGGAGAAGAAGACCGGTGATCACTCAATGGTCTTAACGAGACCATCAGGGTATATCCCTCCAAAGGCGCTACACAGGACATACAAAGCCAAAGCAGCTGGTAATAATGGTGCAGAAATTTCTGAAAAGGAGTTGAGCTCCACGGTGGAGGTTACTAGGAGCCAGAGGAAAGAATTCCCAGAAGATAAGGCGATCACAAAGGGAGATCACAACATCGGGAATCAAACCGGTTTGTCTCAAACAAGGAGCTTAGCAAGGAAGAGCCTTTCTTTTGATGAAGATGATCTCATGGAAGAACCGGTCTTGAATGGGAGAGCTTAACTGGTCTTGAGGAGAGCTTAACACATCTTATTTTTATTATTTTTCATATTTGAAAATTTGAAAAATGAATATTTTTGATTTAAGACAATAAATAAATAATAAAAACAACTTATATCTAAACAAAAAAAATAAATACAAATTATATTAAAAAAACAAAAAAAAATTCGTGCGGACACACGAGTTAGAATCTAGTTGTTACTAAATTAAAAAGCATGATGCATTGCTGACAGCGATCCTGATCATCGTTAAGATTAGGTTATAAACAAGATCTACTTTGTTTGCAAAATGTCATAGATGTGGACATGACATATATATAATATCATTACCATATTTGTAAACAGTAAGATAATTAATAGATGTACTGACGTCATATAATATATATGTGTGTAGGAGTATAATATATTATTAAGCAAATTGCGAACGTACAATGAAGCAAAATGTGAATATAACTTGGAAAGTAAAAAAGATTTACAAAAGTTGTCATAACACTCATGCAAAAGTCGTTGTTATGCCGCCGATTGACAAAATTGATTCTGTGATATAAAAAAAGAAACTATATTTTAAGCAGGAGGTGTTCCTCACCGTTTTTCTCATCAAGCAAATTGGGCCACTTGTTTAGATCACCAAATGGTCATAGTCGGTAGGGCTTATCAATACGTTGTGCTGGTTATTAATAATATCCACCTAGCCGAATCACGAAAAATTGTATACTCATTTATTATTATTTTACGATAAATACGACTTTTCATCTCTTAAATGTATGGTAGGACCCATCCCCAAGAGACATGGAGCCAAACAAGGGCACGTTCATAAGTTTAAGTTTTCTGTATGGAGAAAAATAGCCTTTAAAGTATTTTGACCAAAAAAACCTAAATATTGAATGGAAAAGATTAACTTAGAGATATCGTTTTCTAAATTTCATTTTCATTTTTTGAAAGCTTAAAGATTTGTTACAACTCATAGATTTATTTATACAAATTTTAAGGAAGTTCACCAAAAACCTTAAACAAACTTAACCATAATTTCAATCTGTGGTTAGTTATACTCGGATAAGATTACCAATGAACCAAAATAGTTGAAAACAGGGACCGTACAAACTGTAGAGAGTTGTTGTAACCTTTCTTCTTTTACATTTGTATTTTTGTCTTGTTGCAGAGTTGAAGATGACAGTTGAGACATAGTGGACTGCAGACTGATTTCAACTGATTTAGACTTCGTCTTGTTTGACCTAATAGATGAAACTGCATTGTTTTGATCAATTCGATACTCTGTTCTATTAGCCCCTCTCAAACTTGTCGTAGGGGGAACATCGACGCCAAGTTTGAACCATAGTGACTAAAAGGGAGCTGCATGAAGAGATTTTGTGAAAATATCAGCAATTTGGAGCTTGGAAGGAACATGATTTACCACCAATGAACACAATGCCACACGTTCTCAGACATAATGATGGTGTGTCTCATAATGCTTTGTTCTGGCATGGTAAGATGGATTCACTGTTAACTAGATTGCAGAGAGGTTGTCGCAGAAGATCTCAAGAGTGATATGGAGAGGAACCCTAAGTCTTTTAAGAGACTACCAAGCCAGGTAAGCTCGGAGGCAGTTTCAGACAGAGCAAGGTATTCTGCTTCAGTGGAACTCTTGGCCACCGTATTTGCTTTTTAGAAGACCAAGAGATCAGATTATTTCCAAAATAAGTGCAAAATCCAGTAGTTGATCGCCTTATAAGAGGGCATCCAGCCCAATCAGAGTCGCTATAAGCTCTTATCACAAAAATGTGTTTCCGAAACGTTATACCCATGGAGACTGTTCTTTTGATGTAATGCAAAATGCGTTTTAACAGATGGAAATCAGAAATAGTCGGGGCATGCATCTTCTGGCACACAAAATTGACAGCAAACAGAATATCTGGCCGAGTAAGAGTGAGATATTGCAGTTTTCCTGCAAGGCTTCTAAAGTAAGTCGGATTCTCAAAGAGCTGACTCCGGTTTGGTATGTGATGCGGCTGAAGAGGTAACGGTGTAGGCATAGGAGAACAGTCACTCATTGCAGCAATGGCAAGGAGATCCTCCGCATACTTCTGCTGTGAGAGAAACAGCCCCTCTTGGTGAAAGTGTGCCTGAATCCCGAGAAAATAACGCATCTGGCCAAGATCCTTCATCCGAAAATGATTGTGAATGTCTTCAAGAAACTTATCCATTGCAGATTATTTGTTTCCTGTAATAACCATATCATCCACATATAAAAGCAACATAATAACATCACTTTTGTGTGTATAAACAAAGAAAGAAGGATCCAATTTACTGCAAAAAAAACCAAACTCCAAGAGATAGTTACTGAATTTATCAAACCAAGCTCTTGGAGCTTGCTTAAGACCATAAAGAGCTTTATGAAGTTGCCAAACATGATTAGGATAGTTCTTATCAACAAATCCAGCAGACTGCTTCATGTAAACCACTTCACTAAGATCACCATGCGAAAATGCATTCTTAACATCCATTTGTTTAACTTCCCATTCCATTATAGTTGCAGCATGAAGAACAGCTCTTACAGTTGCGGTTCTTACTACATGACTGCAAGTTTCCAAGTAGTCAATACCCTCTTCTTGATCAAAGCCTTTTGCAACCAGTCTAGCTTTGAGTTTATCAAGTGAGCCATCAGCCTTTAGTTTTGTTCTAAAACTCAAACCGTCCCTGTACTGGG